GGTGAGTATGGCAGGCAGATATGGGGTGCTGGGGTAGACCAGGCCCCACTGGGGTGTTGGGCAGACAAACCGTGGGGAAATCCTCCACGGAACACCTAGCTTGACCTAAAGCTCTGACTTTCCCCAGGGGAACTGCCCAGTAGGGGCAGAGCTGAGAGGGGCGACCTCAACTGCCAGCACCCCTTAATTTTTTGTCCGTTTTATATCGCTCAGATTCAGCCTGGAAGGTGAATAACGCTTCCTGGACTGAGGCGTGGGGCCGGGAGGGCTGTTTTCCTTCCTTTGCTGCAAGGCCGTGGAAGGCCCGAGGTCTGGTGCTCTGAGCAGCAGCTCGGAAGTGGTGTGGCTGCCCCACTGCAGAGCATGGCCCGCAGCGGCCCCGGCCAGCAGGGAGCTGTCTTCCCGCCGGCCTTCTCCACTGTGCCCGCTCTTCGCCTCTTCTCTGTTGTGAGCCCTGCGCTGGCTGGAGGGGGGCGAGCCCCCGAGGCCCTTGGAGCCGTGCACACCCCTGCACTGTGCTGGTGGACAGCACTCTCGTCCTGTGGCTGTGTGACCGGGCACAGGAGTCCACGCAGGCTGGGGGTATATTCGGCTTATTAATCAGCTGTCCCGGGGGGCACATCATGCCCTGCTCCCCGAGTGTGTCTGGGGGTGCTCCCTGTCCTTGCTGGCATCAACAGAGCAGCCTAGACAGACGTGTCGAGACCACGTATTGTCATTTCAGTTTGTGTTTTTTTTAAAAAATTATGCATACAAGAACTGGGGTGCAGGCCAGAAGTGTGGGGTGGAGAGGAGTCAGCAGAAAGTGGGGAGCAGAGTAGGCGAATTTTCCTGAAACCACTGCTGAGGGGAGCAGCGGGGAGACAGGAGAGGTCTGCTGCGCCCCGGGGGTCCCTCCCTGGCGGGGATCGAGCGCAGGTGCAGCGGCTGTGGACAGCTCCAGGGTGCTGAGACGTGACCCTGCGCCACCAGGAGGCCCAGGTCCGTCTGACTGTCCGCACGTCCTTTCTCTCCTGTCCTGCCTTTCTCGTCGTTCCTTGGCTGGGTGGCCCCTCGTTTTATCGACGAGCTTCCTCATCTCTGTCAGCTTTGGGGAGAAATGTTGAATAATTTCTAGCTAGTTGAGATGGTTGTTACAGGTCTGGTGTAGACAGACTCAGATTTAAGAAATTTCCTTCTCTAGTTTGCTAGGAGTTATTTGTTTCAAGAATCATCAATGCCTTCACATTTTTTTCGGAACGTCAAGATGCACACGTGACTTTGCTTTTGTCGTTACATAAGTGTCACATGCTTGACTGTGAGGGCCCCCCGCCCCCCGGCCTCAAAATAAACTTCCCAGACTTGGTGTTCGCCTCTGTGCGGCATCAGATTTGCTGATATTTGGTTTACTGCACTGCACTCTTTTCAAGCTTCTCTTACTGCTTTTTTTTTTTAAGATTTATTTATGCATACAAGAACTGGGGTGCAGGCCAAGATTCAGCGGGTGAGAGGACTCCCCGGAGACAAGGTGGAGAGCAGAGCGGATGGATCCCCTGAAGCCCACTGCTGAGGGGGGCAACAGGGAGACAGGAGGGTTCTGCTGCACCCTGGGGGTCCCTGGGGACTGGACTCGTGCTGCAGTGGCTGGGGCAGCTTGACAGTGAGCTGTCTTTAACCCCTGCGCCACCAGGGAGGGAGACGCTTCTCTTATTGTTATTTTGCACAAGAAATCCTTTTTCACAAAGATACATTAGAAAATATGCTTAAAAGGAAACCTCACAAAACATTATTTTTTAAAAGCTCAGGGTCGTCCTCGGGGGCGCAAAGGATTAAGTCTCAGCACTATGAAGCTGTCTGCAGCCGCTGCAGCCTGAGTTTCATCCCCGGCCAGGGAGGGACCCACAGGGCTCAGCAGACCTCTCCCGACTCCCCGCTGCTCCCCTCAGCAGTGTGTTTCAGTCAGTCAGCCTTTTCTGCTCCCCATTCTACCTCTGGTGACTCCTCTCACCCCTGCACCTCTGGCCTGTACCCCAGTTCTTGTGTGCGTAAGTAAATAAAAATGAATGAGAGCGCCCTTATCCACTGCCCAGCCCCAGTCACTGTGGAAATTCTGCGCATGCTGGTCCACGGTCTGCCACGCTGACTCTTCAGCTCTTCCCGTGGCCTAGTGGCAGCCGTCACGTGACACGCTGCTTTCTCTCCTCCAGACCGTGGCGGAGGCCGGGCAAACCCTGGCTCTTGGTGCACCCTCACAGGGAAAGTCACATGGTGTGACGAATCTCTCTCAGGCCTGGGAAGGTCTTGGCCCAGCCTGTCTGTCTTCCTCTCACCATTCTCCAAGTGTCTCTGTGTGTCTGTTTTCCCGGCGTCAGGCGTCCGCAAACGTGTGTTTCCTGTTGGGTTCTTCCTAGTGAATGACTTCCGGGAAATGCTGTTCTTTTTTCTTGGAGCCACTCAGAAGAGCGGCCGTGAGTGTGTGTCCTGCTGCTCTGACGCTCAAACCCAGCTGTGTCCATGCTGACTTTACTGAACGGCCCGCATGGACAGCGGGCCTCCCAGCCGCGTGTCAGCCGGGAAGGGGCTTTGTCCGTGGTCAGCTTTTCAGTGACAAGCTCTATCTCTCTGTAGCTCTTCCGACCACCCCCGTCCTTTCCCGACTTCCTAGCGGGCACTCGGTCGTGTCTGCATCCGGTTTATCTTCCATCGTCTTTGTGATGTGGTAGCCTCTTTAGGTTCCTGGTGCTTTATACATTACCATTCTGTGATTCACAGAATCATTCAGGAACTTGTAGGGCCTTGCCGACAGGAGCCCAGGTGAGCAGTCTCAGAGAAGAGAGGTTTATTGGGGCCAGTTGCTGGGCACGACTCCAAGGG